ACTCATGTTGGCTTCTTTCGTTGTTTTGTAATCGGAGATATGCTACATCTTCTATGTCCTTTTTTTGTTAATATTTTTTTAATAGAGAGTTATGTGACTAATTTGATTATGGAATGGGTTTAAGACACATTTAAAACATGGGTGATCACTATCTCCTTATATCTTTACTTATGTCATATAAGAAGTTTCTTGCATTATTAACGAGGTCCGTTATAATAATAATTTTGAAGACATTAACCACAACTATGCATAGATTAGTCATCTATATTTCGCTGATGATTTGCTTGTTTTTTGGGCATGTTGATTCACCCTTTATCTTTGAGTTGCTATCTTTTCGTCAAATGTTCAATGTGTTGACGGGTCTTCATGCTAACTTATAAGTCTAATATTATATTTTCTAAGTCTATTTCAAATGCAAATGTTCTTACTTAAACTTTTGGGTTTAAAATGGAGCGCTAATCATTTAAAACCAGGAAATTCGTTATCGAGGAAAAAACTCGGTACACCTCGATATAGGCGGTATTTTGCCTACGACCGGATGTTTCTTGCATCCGGTCAACCGAACCAAATAAAAGCGCTCTTTTTTGACCTCCACTGCAAGAATATTTGGGGCCAAAAAATTGAATTATTATTAAAAATATTTGATAAGAAAGGAATGGGAAAAATTCAAAATTTGATCCACCGTCTTAAAGGGCAAGTGCGTGTTAAGGTGATCAAATTGGGTAGACTTCAAACATTAGACTGATGAAATAGACTGCTTCCTTTATAATTGGTTGGGTCGTGATTTATATTACTCTCTTTAGACTCGATTAGCTGAAGTTATGCTGCCCTCGTTTGTCTTTGCTAGAAATTTGGACTTGTTGCCTTTATTATGTGGAGCAAACTAATAACTTCTGTTTTTTGGCTATCATATTAAGGATTCTTTTGTGGTGGCTTTCTTGCTGCTTTATAAAACATCTTTTTTAGTACAAAAATTCAAAAATTTTAATTTTTGTACTAAAAAATTGCTTTAAAAATAGTAAGAAAGCCGTTCCAAACGAAACCTAAGACTTAATTTTTGGTAGGATTTCCTTTTGAATTGTGTTGGTGCTGGCATTGGGCGCAAACAAGCCGGGCCGAGCTCGATTCACTCATGATTTGAAGTTAAGCTTAATTAGTTAATTTAGTTTAAGCTCAAATTAGAGCTCAATTTGATGACTTCAAGTCGAATAACAAGCCGAATTATTTATTATGAAAAAAGTTCAAATGAACATGGTTGAAATAATAATTATAATAAAATGATAAAAAGAATAGAAATTAAAATAGAAATAGTAAAGATTCACTTTTTTTAATATATAATAAAGATTCACTTAATATAAGAAATTGTGATATAATTTTTAAATATTTTAACAACTTTGTACTTAAGCTCTTGATTGCCAATATATTTCAATTATATTAGCTCATGAGTTAAAGTGTTAAGTTGAGACTTAGGCTTCGTTTGGGACGGCTTATTTATTGCTTTCTAGTACAAATTTTTTTATTTTTGAACTAAAACTCCGTTTTAGAAAGCAATTAAAAAGCCATCCCAAACGAAGCCTTACTCAAACTTAACACATTAGAACATAGAGCTTGGATCATGAGGAATTTATCTAGCCGGGCTAAAACTAGCTCACAAGTCAGCTTACTTACTCACTCCTAGGTGCTTGTGTTTATTTCTTGAGCATTGACGGTTTATTACCTTATAATTTCTTATTTCTTGAAGCCTTTAATTCTGCTTTGTTCATTTAAATTAGATGATTTTACACAGCATAAAATTTTTATATATTTACATATTTAACACATCTTAATTTATACATTTACTTCTATAACATTTTCAATATATATTTATAATATTTAAATAAAAAATTTATGAATTATGTAAACTCTCCTGTGAATTATGGTTCGACTCTCATTTCTAAAGAGAAAAAAAACAATTTCTCCGTCTGGAGCATCGGACGCGTTTGCCGTTTCCGTCTTCATAAAACTTTACGACGAAGCTGGTGTCATGTTAGCATAGACATCATCATCATCCAATCCATAAAAGATAACACCAAAGTCACTTTCTCTACAAATAGTTGTCGCCAAATCTACTAATCCAATTTTGACCCGATTTGCATTTTAACCACGTGAAATCCATACCATGCTTTGCTTCTATGAATTTCCAATGCCAACTAATAAGTTTGATTAGTTGCGACGCGACGCAGCAGATGCTAGACAAAACGCAAAGCAATGTGGTTAGAAGAAGCTGGATTTGTTGTAAGTTCGGCCGTCATGTGCAACAATTTTCCCCCAAGTAAACACGCTCTACAGTCGCACACATTTGGGGACCGTTTCCGTTTACAGAAAATCCTTTCCTGTTCATATGGAATTTTAAATATTTAAATGGTGGATCTAGTAATTAAGACTATCCTATTCCGCGAGACACGTTACTATCTCCACTACCTTAGTCACTGTCCTTATTTCCTTTCTGTTAGGATCCTTCTCCTGTTTTTCTTTCTAACCGCCTATACTCAAAATAGTAGCGTAATTAGAGGAGACTCTTATATATACTGCATATACACCGATCTGGGAGATATATAGAAAACATATATTTTCCTGTACAGTTCCATTTGGTTTTTGCTTCTCTTAGTTTCTTGCAGGATCCATTTCTAAGAGCCGCTTGAAAGGATACATCATTTTGGTATCAGAGCCAGCGACTCGGTTGATGGATGCAGAAACTTCCTACAGAGCTCCTAACAATGATCGGATCTTGGATGCCTTGTGGGCAGCGCTAGTTAGCATCACTCGGCAACTAAATGAACAGAGGGCGGACTTTTTTCGCCCCTCCACCGAACTACGAAACGAGATAGTGGATCTCAAAACATCAGTTAGTACCGTTTCGGGACAAGCCCAGCCACCGTTGGTGCCAATATCGACACCGAGGGTTCAGCACGGCAGAGCCAAACACTACAGACAACCTCGACCAGTTTTTGCAGACGTTACAGATTTGAATGATGAGATCGATTATCCACCGCAACGTGAACCAGCCGAATCCGGAGATATAGGTCACTTCCGATATTATGATCGACCCAAACCTCGTAGTCAAAATCATGGTGGTCCGGGAGAATTCCGCATCAAATTGGATGTCCCCTTCTTTGAGGGGTGACTCCACATCGAGGGCTACTTAGATTGGAAAATAGCTGTTGAAGCTTTCTTCGAGTACATGGAGATCAGTCCCGACAAGTAGGTTGAATAAGTGACTTGCCGTCTGAAGGGAGGAGCCAGCGCATGGCGTGATGCGGTGCATCATGTCATATCCTTAGACCGTTACTTTGCTTTAGCTATTAATTAGTGGCTTTATTTAAATTAAGTATTTTACTTTTGTCTAACCATTAGAAACCGTTAGAGTGGCTGCTCCACTCCTTTCCTTTTTACTTAGTTTAGTATCTGTTATGCTGCCATGTGCTGGCATTTTGGTTTGCTGCCATTTTTAGCAATGGCCTCCTCTGTATTTCTTCTCTTGGAGAAGAAGAGCAAGTTAGTTGATATTATACAGTTTTTGGCCATAGCCATTACCGATTTCTTGCCTTCTTGGAGTTACTTCATACTAGGCTTGCCGCGGACAAAGAAGGGGGTTGATTCCATCATGGTGGTGGTGGATAGATTTTCGAAAATGGCTCACTTCATAGCCTGTAAGAAGACAGCGGATGCTCTCGGCGTTGCCCGTCTTTTTTTTAGAGAGGTCATAAGACTACACGGACTTCCCCGAAGCATCACCTCCGATCGGGATGTGAAGTTCGTTAGCCACTTCTGGAGAGAGTTGTGGAAACAGCTACAAACTGAGATCAAACTGAGCTCGGCATATCACCCGCAAACCGATGGACAGACGGAGGTAGTAAATCGCACTCTTGGCAACATGCTCCGCTGCTTAGTGCAAGATCATCCGAAGAAGTGGGATGACATTCTCAGCCAAGCTGAGTTTGCCTATAACTCAATGCCAAATCGATCTACGGGTATGTGTTCTTTTAATATAGTATACACTAAACCACCTAACCATGTTGTAGACATTGCTGTCATTCCTAAATGTCACAATTCGGCGGCTGCCAAACTCACGGGAGACTTCAAGGCCATGCTCGACAACGTCCGCAACACACTCCAAGCTTCGAACGACTCCTACAAGCAGAAAGCTGATGAACACCGCCGCGCCAAGAGTTTTCAAACAGGGGAATTGGTAATGGCAAGATTCAGGAAGGAACGATGCCCCACTGGAACTTATTCCAAGCTTAATCCAAGAAAGCTTGGACCATTTGCCATCAAGCACAAGATCAGCGACAATGCATATGTACTGGATTTACCACCGGAGATCCTCACTTCCGCCACCTTCAATGTGGCCGATCTCAGTCCTTATTATCCGGCCGACAATGCCGTCATCGAGATCAATTCGTCAGATACGAATTCTTCTGAAGTGGAGGGGGATTGATGTGGAATTCTGCTACCTTATAGTATTCCGCAGTATCACTATACCATTAGAATACTCTCTGCTTTTTCTGTTATTTAGCATTATTCCCCACTACTTCTTTAACTAACTAAAGGACTATAGTACTTTTACCTTTTTGAGAGTTGCTGCACTTTTTGTAGAAAGCTGGGCTTCTCTTATACCGGAGAAGAGGCTTGAGCAAGACAGTTTATCTTCTACATTGAAATTAGCTACAGTAGTTCTACTGTTTTATTGAAATTATCTTTCATTGTCCCCTGTTTTTCCTTGTTCTATTGTTTCCACAGCAAAGTCGGCTCCACCACAATGGAGAGTGGGGAATAGCTGCAGGCTACAGCCCAAGCAAAATCCCTGGGCTAAAGGCGGGGTAGTTTATCCCTGCTTTAAGAATATTAAAATCTCATCCAACTTATCATAAACAAAGTTTAAGCCAAAGGAAAGCGAAGGTTAAATGCTCTGGCAAATTAAAAAAGAACACGCGATCGATAACCAAATGCACATTTTCAACTAAAAAACATGAAATAAACTTTAATCTTTTCTTTTCATCACCAACCAATTGGTACAGAAATTGATACAATTTCAATCAAATGTGGTTTAAGTTATCAGAAGAATGGGTTAAATATTCAAAAATAGAGAGGGAGAAAAAAAACCCGTGAAAAATAGAGCTCGAGTATTCACAATTGAGCAGCGAATCACATTTTCAGATGTTGCGCAACGGCAAGAGGAAGACGGAGCCGTCATGATTGGGCGGTGGTGGTGGACGTCGAGATGCTTGCTGGCGAGAATCTAACCATGCGATCAGCCTCCTCTACCGCGGCCAACCATCTACGATAAATCCGCCCAAGCGAGGCCGCCTTGCGCCGTCCCCTCACTGTACCGGAGCCTGTCAACTCCCATATCACCCATTCAATCCCCGGCATCCTAGCAAGCTCCGACACCGCGGCAGAACCTTCCCTCCGGCAAAGCAAAACCAGCGCCGCTGCAGCATTTTCTTTGGACCAATCCGATCCGCGCCGCATAACACCCACAAGCTTAGGAATTGAACCCTCGGCATCGATCACGGCGGATGCGCCGCCGCGCTTAGCCAAAGCAGCGAGAACCGCCACCGCCTCTTCCGCTACTTCCATTGAGGACAACGCCTCCAAAGCTGATTCTACCACGCCGCCCTCCACCAAATGCGCAATGTTTTCACGGTCACCAGCAAGGCTTAAGATCGCCGCGAGTGCATCTTTCTTCGTGCTTGCTGGACCCTTGCGTGCTAGCGCGACAAGCTCTGTTACCACTCGCTGGTTCCGCCCGAGCCGACGTCGGTACGCGTGGATTGACGATAGGCTCAGGAGGGTGGCCGCGGCGTTCTCCTTTGCCCACCACGTGGCGCCGCCGGCTAAGACGTGGATCAGGGCGTCGAGCCCGCCTTCAGCGTGCATGATCCGCTTCTTGTTTGACTCTAGAATGGAGAGGTTGAGGAGCGCGGTGACGGCATTGAGCTGCAATCTTGGATCTTCGGATGAAAGGAAGGGGAGGAGCAGAGGAATAGCTCCTGCCTCGGCGACGAAGGCCCGATTATCAGATCCTGTCTTTGCCAGCAGCCGTAGTTCGTGGACAACGCGGTTAGCCATCTCCGTAGATGGCGATGAATCAAGCTTATTGACTAAGAATGTTGCAGTCATCCTCGCCGCTTCTAGGGCTGCCTTGTTTGCGCAAGTGGCGGAAGTCGGCTCGCCTTTATTGGAATCGAAACCGTCGAAAGGGACGTTCTGCTCGCGGCACCAAGCGGAGATTAGGTTCTTGAGAGCTCGATTAGGGACGAGATTGGTGTGGGAAAGCAACTGGCCGGACTTGGGACAAGTGGCGTGCCCAGCACCGATCCACCGGGTGATGGAATCTCGATCGTACGTCTGCCCGCTTGCCACGATGACCGGATCCCGCATCAGCTCGAGAGAAATAGGGCATCGAAAGTCCGGCGGCACAAGGGGATCCAATTCCGCGAAGGAGAATTTGCCGGTGGAGGAATCAGATGTCGGCGTGGAAGCGCCGTAGAGCACGCACTTGGCGTAACGCACCACTCCGACGAGGGCAATCATGGCAGCCGTCCATTTCTCTGATACGCGATCCCCAATCTCTCGCTCGAGGCACTCAATCTCATTCCTGCAGCTCCGGGTGCCATCGATGCCGACTTTTTCAAAGATCGCGGTGAGGCGGGACAGATCGGGGACGACCTCTTGTTCGATCTCGCGGATCATGGACAATATTTCGCATCGTAGAGCATCGTCGGTGGGATCGACAGCTGGGTTGGATCGGCGGCACTGCCGACGAAGTAGATCAACGAGGTCACGGACGTCGTCGGAGAGGCGGAGTTCAGGAAGAGGGAGGATGTCGAGGAGAGTGGAGAGATCGAGGGTGAGCTCGTGGAAGTCGTTGCCGAGGGAGTCGATTTGGAGAATGAGGCGCATCCGGCTGCGAGCAGAGCAATCACCTAGGAGGCCCTTGAAGCGCTGCAGTACGACGAGGATCTCGCGGAGGCAAAGGGAGGCCGAGCGGGGGAGTTCACCGGCGTTCCCGGTTTGGTCGTGGAGAAGCTCCTCGAACAAGATGCAGAGGATCTTGGACTTACGAGTAAGGGAGGTGAAGAGACGTCGGAGGAGTGGACAGGGTGCTTCGAAGAGGGAGATCTCGCGAGCAAGACGGAGGAGCGAACGGAGGAGGTCGCCGTCACAAGGAATTGCCGGCGGAGGCGTAGGAGAGCAGGGCAGTGGAAGGGGGAATGAGGAGATGGAGAAGAAGGAGAATTCCGCCATTGGTGGCGTGGGTTGGTCAAGCTTCGTTGAGGCGGAGGCGGAGGCGGCGAAGGGATTTTATTTGTTTGCGTGGAGGCAAATCTGCGGCGTGAGCTGTGTTTGAGCTATGACCAACTTTGACGAATCGCTGTTCCATTAAACTATTTTTTATTTTTTATGTTTTGCCCTTTTGCTTTACGATTTACTTCTTGTAGAAAACCAGCAATTAATAAGTCTGCGGATCCAAAGATTTTTTTTTTTCAAAATAAATAATATAAAATTTTTATTAGGAAAATTTACATACATACCACTTCATAACATCCTATTTACATATCTAATACCTAAAACTTTAATATTACATGAATACCAACCTATATTGTTTTAATATCAAATATACCACTTACATTTCTTTCCTACCGCTCATATATTTCATTTCTACCACTCATATTTGGTATGAAAATGAACTATGGGTGGTATGTATGTAATATTAAAATTTTAGGTGTTAAATATGTAAATAGCATAATATTAAGTGGTATGTATGTAAATCTCCCATTTTTATTATCATTATGATTAAATATACTTTATTTAATTTATTTTGAAAACAATAATCAATAAAAAATCCGTAAGCAGTAATATGGTCAGTTAGGAAAATCGACAAGAAACCTCCATGTGGAGGACCGCAAGAGAATGAGACGATAAACATAGCACTGCTATTAATTCATTGAAGCCAGTGATGCGAAACTAACAAATAAATATTCCCTATAAATATTCCCTATTTATAATTGTGTGAAGATGCTAGTGATCGCGCACTATTTATCAACGAGTCATCTTATGAGTAATTAAAAAGTTTTTTTTTTTTTTACCTTTGCTTAGCTTGTTTGGTGGGCGAGTACAGTTGGGAACCCCCAACCCGTGTTTGATTCCCCTCGAGTGACATCGCCTCTTAAGTGGGGCCCAATCAAATGAGATCCAAGGGGTTTGTGGGGTGAGTGCCTCTTCTAGGTCAGCCGAGGATTAGTCATGCAGTCAAGCGCCCTTTTGCGGGTGGATATCCAGTTCCAAAAAAAAAATAAAAAATTTTGAGATATTTAGGTAATTAAGATAAATTCATACACACATTATATATGTAAACTTAAATTAAAAATCTCTTAGTTAATAGAAAAAACTCTCAACACATTAATTAAAATGTTATAAAAGAAAGATGCTTAGATACTCTATTCATTGCATGTGGATGCTAATTAGTCCAATTAATTTTGAATTTGATGCTCACTAGCATTATAATAATTTTTTTCACATTTTTTTATGAAAGTGCTATTTTCTTTTTGCATGTATTAAAATGAAACTCATCCCACAATAAAAACCACTAAATTTTGAAGCAAGAGTAATATTTTTTTTAAACCAATTTTTTTTTTTTAACTCAACTAGATACGGACCACTCTTTGGCGATAGCCACTCAAAACCAAAACAGTCTAGAACCCACCCACACATGCAACCACCAAGCAAAAGGGCATACCACCAAGGTTGCCAACAAGGGGAAAAGCAGGGAGCCGCCGCATCATCGTCCAATCCTCCAACAAAGCCCACTGCATCAAAAACAAGAGAGAAATCAAAAGTCTATTTCTTCTTAGATTTCCTTTTACGCCTTCTGCCACATCTACTGAGAATAAATTGATCAACAATACACCCCACCATGAAACTATACATATCATCATTTACATGGTCACAAAAATCTTCTTCCTCCCCCACACATGGCGTAGAAAGGGGCTCATCCAAATCCAGCCAATCAGATTGAACTAAGAGAGAGTTATTCAAAGACTGGGCCACATGAGCTTTCAATTCTTCGTTAGACATAACTGAAATAAGAATATTAACATACACGACATTTCTCTCTGAGGCATTAGCAATAGGAGATAATTCAGACTCAACACTAAAAGGTAAATTCGAAACCAAATGAATAGACATAAGCAAAATCCTAGGCCATAGACTCCATAGGAAAAGAACCATCACAAACAACCAACACATGGATTGGCGAATCAGGTAAGCCAGAAGGCTCCCCATCCCTGGAAACCACATCCACAGACAAATAACTCGAATCAACCACAATATTCACACACAAAAGGCTAGTTTTAAGGTTAATACCACAATTATTTTTGATCAAATTTCCTTCCTCACTAACATAAATAGCATTCAAAGGTGGAACCAAAGAAGCAGGTTACCTCTCAACCACAATAGAAATAACATAAGCTAAATTAGAATTAAGAAGAATTGTATTATCCCCCAAAAAATCAGCAACACTCCCAACTATAACATTAGTAGAAGAGAGGTGAGGATGACATTTACCCACCACATGTCCGATACAATTACAAGAAGCACAAAAGAGGGGAAATTCTTCCATAACAACTTGTTGCACATAGCCCAGCTTCTCAGGACCTAACCAAACATTGACCGGGTAAAATTTAGTGGTATCAATATCCATCAGCACACGAGCCACGAAAGGACTAGAAACAACAATAAAAATGGCATAGTCAATCTTCAAAGTTCTGCCAAAAATTGAACCCAAACTGTGAAGGATATGAGGGGAATAGATGTGAGGACGAATATGCGAAAAAGAAACCCAAATCGGGATCACTGGAGATTCAACACCAACATCAAATAGAGGAGACCACTTGGTGAGTTGCATGTAACAATTATACACTATGTAAGATCTATGGCAAAAAAACCTACAATAATCAAGATCATTAGCCAATTTGATCAAGATATGCGACGGAGCAAGCAGGGTGATCTACACTTCGCCATTTAAGCATAAGATTGAAGAAGAATCTCCGAATGGATTCAAGAGAGGGACGCTTTGAGGGGAAGAAACCAACTAACGAAAACTGAAACGGAACATCCAACACTCAATTTCCTGCTCCGAAATCCACAGAGAAGGCATACCACGAAAGGAGATTGTCTTAAATTCAAGAAAATTTACAACAGAAGAAGACCCAGAAAGCGCATCCAAAAACAATCGTGATTTAACCCGACCTTCTAAAAAATCATGGTCGGACAAGCAATTCGGTGGCATTCCAGGCAAGCGCTGAAGATGGGCAAAACAAAAACAAAACAAAAAAATCTGAGAAAACCACTCGAAGAAGAAGAGAGAACTTCCCTTGAACACCACCGAGAGCGCCGGCGCCACCAAGGATGAAGCCCTAGCAGGGCGGGCGGGGCAAGGCTCCGGGCCAATAATTTCATTGACACATTAAACTAAAGGGGGGTTTGTATACATAACACTTGAAATAATTTATTTATATATTTTCACCTAATTTTAGTATTTCTTGATCATGTACAAGTATGAAGAAAATACAAATTAGGATATGTGGTAGTTTTTTGTTATATAAAGTTTTAAGTATTTTATGCATAAATAATACAATTTAGATGTTAAATATTTAAAATAATAATAATTTTAGATGTTATGTATGTAAATCTCGCAAAGTAAAGCACTACAAAACAGTGGAGTAATCAAACTAAAAAACCTTAGAGAGCTTGAATAAATACATGCATAAAGAAAATACATTCTTTTGTGAAATGATTTAGCATTAAATCTAAAAGGATTTTAGTGCAAGGGGTATACTAATTTTTAAGATAGAATTTAGAGGTGATGGTTTTTATCATATTGTATGATTTGTACAAATAAAAACTAATTAAAATATTTAATTAAATGATATTAATTAAAATTTGGAGTATAACCAATTGTATTATATAATTTTCACATTGTACAGAACAATCATCTATTTTGAGAAATCCTGCCATCGAATCATGATTACTTAAAATATTCAATTTTGAAATTTAAATTGATCGTACTGTACGAACCAATTTTGTATTGTATAAATTTAAATTAAAATTGACTAATTTAATTCTAATGATTAAGAAATCAAATTATATCCCATTAATATCAAGTTAAAAAATTTCATATGTTAAAATTTGTAGTAATTTTAAAAATTGATGAAACCAAGTATTTTCGTTAGCTCATCATGCATTTTCTGATGAGTAGACCTTGGAGTATACATGTTCTGGCAAATGATTCTTTTTTTGGAAAACCTGGCAACTGATTCTACAAAGTCAGTATGGCTCTGACGTGCTCATTATGATTCCGTAGAGTTCATCATAACTAACTCTAACAAGTTCTATAACTCACCTCTGCTTGTCGAGAGCGATGAAGAGTCGGCTGGACAAAGCTTAAGTCCCTGGTTCGAATTTTTTGGCAAGCAATGAAAGCCTTTAAGTATTGACTTGTGTAAATTGGTGTGGCTTACATGCTAAATTAATAGGAATTTTACTGGCCTAAGAACATTGCTTCCTCGTAAAATATATATATATATATATATATATATATATATAGAATAAAACTCTAATGAGTTCGTAATGTACCTCGAGAGTTTTTTATTTTTACTCCTCTGACCTTTTTGGGTTTCTTTGAACATCGTACTATCTATAAAATATTTCTGATCCCTATTTTGACTGTTTTGAGATTTTCGATTTGTTCTATATTTTAATACATTTTATTTTTCATTTCTCTCTGATAATTCAGACTAATAAGAAATCAGATTCAACTGAAAATTTAAGCCATCTCCTACTGAGGCATTGCCGTCCCACCGGAAAACTTTGAATATTGTTGTTACAATTACTATTTCAAGTTATAGAAAGGTTTGAACATTAGTTGATCCTCAATAGACAGTTCACGATATATTCAACTGAATTAAATTAGATTATTTTTCATTTTAAGTGGACAATTAATCCATATTAAATAATAATCAATCCAAATATATGCAATCTGATGAATTCACATGCAGCCAGGCTCACCGGTATCCATTGTCATCGACTCTACGACGATATTTATAAATAAAATTTACTTTGTCGCGTTGAAGGTCAAAACAACAAATCTCAGTGTTGCCTGGGTCAAAGGGGTTTGGGTAGGGTCAATCTGGGTAGGACGGGTTGGGTTCGAGTCTGAGTTTTTATCTCGCTTGTCTAATTGGTCGGGTTAGGTTGAATCAATTCAAGGCAAGTTGGATTCAAACACAACCCAAAAATCCATTTTGACATCTCTACTAAATACACCACAAAGATCAATAAGATCATGTTATCTATGATGAATGAGTTGCAACACCAACGTGCTACGGGCGTACTCAGGTAAATTTTGTTGATGATGATGACAACAACGATGTAAGAGCACTTGTTTGAAATGTTGTGTAAAATAATTGGTATATTTGTTGCCCGAAATAATTGTTTGTATATATATAATTGTGCTATT